GTTGTATAAGTACTTACATCATAATTGTAACACATTAGTTGTATAAGTACTTACATCATACTTGTAACACATTAGTTGTAGTAGTACATACATCATACTTGTAACACATTAGTTGTGTTAGTACATACATCATACTTGTAACACATTAGTTGTATTAGTGCTTACATACATCATACTTGTAACACATTAGTTGTAGTAGTACATACATACATCATACTTGTAACACATTAGTTGTATAAGTACATACATCATACTTGTAACACATTAGTTGTATTAGTACTTACATACATCATACTTGTAACACATTAGTTGTAGTAGTACATACATACATCATATTGTAACACATTAGTTGTATAAGTACTTACATCATACTTGTAACACATTAGTTGTATAAGTACTTACATACATCATACTTGTAACACATTAGTTGTAGTAGTACATACATACATCATACTTGTAACACATTAGTTGTATTATTACTTACATACATCATACATGTAACACATTAGTTGTATTAGTACTTACATACATCATACTTGTAACACATTAGCTGTATTATTACTTACATACATCATACTTGTAACACATTAGTTATATTAGTACTTACATACATCATACTTGTAACACATTAATTGTATTATTACTTACATACATCATACTTGGAACACATTAGCTGTATTATTACTTACATACATCATACTTGTAACACATTAGTTGTATTAGTACATACATACATACATCATACTTGTAACACAGTAGCTGTATTATTACTTACATACATCATACTTGTAACACATTAGTTGTATTGGTACTTACATACATATCTCAACCTGTGAGCCTAAAATGTTTAGAGAAACCATAGTTCTAATACTTTTGTTTAGATTTCAAGATATTAGACAATGCCAGAAAGTAAAAATATACTTAAAACATCAGAATTATCTTGGTTTAAACAAATCTAGATTCAACATTAAAAGTTAAAAACTGAAAACTTTTGCCAAGTAAACCAATCGGTTTCGTCGCCATTTAGACAGAACTTTTGAAATGTTTATATTTTAATCAAATTCTGTACTGACCTATAAACACATTATTTTTTTTTACATCTTGCGAATAATTAAGTTCAAGTTTCATGACTTGCTTTTAAACTCACTTTTAGAATGGAAATAATATTAGTAACTCAATTTTCAAGTGATACATACTTTAATAGAAATGCTAATAATATCTTCATACAAAACAATACCTTCAACGAAACTCTTTTATGTTGTAAAGACATTTTCTTGCTTCTTTTGTTATAAAAGAACATACCTAACGAGACACTAATTACAATGTTTTGTGATATTCTTTAACTGATTTAGCTAGCTTTTATAAAACTTTGTTTTTAATACACAACTCATGTCCATATCATCAATATCTTTGTCAGTGTTACTGTGGTTTGGTAAAAACCATCTAATATTGTATATTGTTTCTGTTGTTGTGGCAACAGCTAGAGGGACTAAGGAATCAACAGAAAGATTTATTGCAATGATCGATGCTTCACTCAGGTTTACAGAACAGTCTGGTTTACTTAAGTTTAACTGTAAAATATCCTCTGACTGTCTGACTTTGTAAAAATGAACACTTCCTTTCTCCGTTCCTAGGGCTAATAAACACCCGTTCAGAGCTACACAAACAACGTAACTACGTAGAGCTTCCGTTGTTTTGTACACTCTATAAGTCTGTCCATCTAAAGAAATGCACAGCAGGTGGTCAGCTGGAAGGAAAAAAAAAGTTATGTGGGCAGAAAATTGAAATGCAATGAATATACATCTAAATAATTAAGTGAGATGAAAATAAATGGTTCAATGATCTTATCAGGTTTAACATTTTAGGTAGGTTACTACTGAAGAAAGTACAACATTTTAACTTCTTTTCAATTAGGCTTCAATAACTATTCTTCGCTGTAATTTATTTATCCAACAATGATACTTGAAGCCATTCTTTCTTCATTAGCACGCTTGATTTCAACTGACTTGTTATAGAACTCCATACTTCTCTCTCTCTCTTGCAATTCCCAGTTTGCCCCTGATGAAGAAAGGCCCACCTTTCGAAAGTCCTAGGGCTATGAACACTTGAATATATGCTTGTTACGTTTAACTAAAACAAATGCACTGATCTACATACTCACACCATATATTTGGAAAGAACTTACCCGTAAGCAGAAAAATTATTCCTTCCCTCAGCACGTAAGCCTGGACTATAACCAAATCCTGAGATTCCCAATCCTGTATGCAGTATTCACCGGGTAGGAAAAAATGAGGACTTTTAATACAAGTTAGTAGCCACTCTTCTTCTTCTAAAGAAAATACCTGACGAGTTCCATTTTGGCAAAGGCATGTAATCTGAAATCGCACGTCAGTTAAATATTCTCAGGTGGATTATAATAAAGTTTCGGCTTTTGACTAGATTAGATTAATTTTGTTTCAATTAAGAATAGAGAAAAACCTAATACCAGTCACTTAAACAGGAAAACACTTTTATCAAAAGCCTATATGCAAGTTAGATTTCAAGCTTTTGGATGTTTTACTATTAACTACCATACAGAAACAATTTAACAATATATTTGTATTTCCATGTGAGAAATATACATGTGCATGTGACAAAAATGTTTCAGTTCTACTGAACGAATATGCTTCAGTAGCAACAAGTCACAACTAGTTTAAACAAGGTGTAATTAGCTTGGTATTTACATTAATACATAATTAATTGTGGCTGGACAAATATGAAACTATAACTGATTTAAAATATAACCCATGTTCAATAAACAGCAAATTGTATTTAATGCTAACAAAATAAGTCTGTAATTAAGGCTAACTATAAAAGAATAAACACCTAATAAAAGCTGAATACATATATAACCACACATGGTTCAGCACCTAATGAGGGCTGAATAAATATCTAACAAACATAACCAAACATTATTCAACACCTAATCAGCCCAGACAATAAACATCTAACAAACATAACCACACACAGCTCAACACCTAATAAGGACAGAATAAACATCTAACAAACATAACCAAACATTATTCAACACCTAATCAGGAGAGGTCTGCTGATTAGGTGTTGGTGGTTATGTTTGTTAGGTGTTTATTGTCTGTTGATTAGGTGTTGAACTGTGTGTGGTTATGTTTGTTAGATGTTTATTTTTGTTAGATGTTTATTGTCTGGTGATTAGGTGTTGAACTGTGTTGATTAGGTGTTGAACTGTGTGTGGTTATGCCAGACAATAAACATCTAACAAACATAACCACACACAGCTCAACACCTAATAAGGACAGAATAAACATCTAACAAACATAACCAAACATTATTCAACACCTAATCAGGAGAG